AAATAATCTTTGCATGGTGTCAGTACCAGAATTCTGGCAATATAAATACGAGGTTTTTGGAGTGGAATAACTTGGATTCATAAATTCTATGATTCCGACCTACATTTAATTTTTAAAAATCTTGTTGCTTATAGGTTATGAAGACAGTATGGAGTTTCCTGACCACAGTAGACATTTGCTACAGTGTCTGAGTGAGCAGAGACATCAGGGTTTTCTTTGTGATTGCACTGTTCTGGTAGGAGATGCCCAGTTCCGAGCGCACAGAGCTGTACTGGCTTCATGCAGCATGTATTTCCACCTCTTTTACAAGGACCAGCTGGACAAAAGGGACATTGTTCATCTGAACAGCGACATTGTTACAGCCCCAGCTTTCGCTCTCCTGCTTGAATTCATGTACGAAGGAAAGCTCCAGTTCAAAGACTTGCCCATTGAAGACGTGCTAGCAGCTGCCAGTTATCTCCACATGTATGACATTGTCAAAGTCTGCAAAAAGAAGCTGAAAGAGAAAGCAACCACAGAGGCAGACAGCACAAAAAAGGAGGAAGACGCCTCAAGTTGTTCAGACAAAGTGGAGAGCCTCTCCGACGGCAGCAGCCACATGCCAGGAGACTTGCCCAGTGATGAAGACGACGGAGAAGATGAAAAATTGAACATCCTGCCTAGCAAAAGGGACTTGGCGGCTGAGCCTGGGAACATGTGGATGAGATTGCCCTCAGACTCAGCAGGCATTCCCCAGACTGGCGGAGAGGCAGAGACGCACGCGGCAGCAGCTGGAAAAACAGTAGCCAGCCCCTGCAGCTCAACAGAGTCTTTGTCCCAGAGGTCTGTCACCTCCGTGAGGGATTCAGCAGATGTTGACTGCGTGCTGGACCTGTCTGTCAAGTCCAGCCTTTCAGGAGTTGAAAATTTGAACAGTTCTTATTTCTCTTCGCAGGACATGCTTAGAAGCAGCCTGGTTCAGGTGAAGGTGGAGAAAGAGGCTTCCTGTGATGAGAGTGATGTTGGCACTAATGACTATGATATGGAACATAGCACTGTGAAAGAAAGTGTGAGCACTAATAACAGGGTACAGTACGAGCCGGCCCACCTGGCTCCGATGAGGGAAGATTCGGTCTTGAGGGAGCTAGATAGAGAGGACAAGGCAAGCGATGATGAAATGATAACTCCAGAGAACGAGAGAGTCCAAGTAGAAGGAAACATGGACAGCAGCTTGCTCCCTTACGTGTCAAACATACTTAGCCCTGCTGGCCAAATTTTCATGTGTCCTCTCTGCAACAAGGTCTTTCCTAGCCCCCATATCCTGCAGATCCATTTAAGCACGCACTTTCGAGAGCAGGACGGGATCCGCAGCAAGCCTGCTACCGATGTCAATGTCCCAACCTGCTCGTTGTGTGGTAAGACTTTTTCTTGCATGTACACCTTGAAACGTCATGAGAGGACTCATTCAGGTGAAAAGCCCTACACTTGCACCCAGTGTGGGAAGAGCTTCCAGTACTCCCACAACCTGAGCCGCCACGCAGTGGTTCACACGCGGGAGAAGCCTCATGCTTGTAAGTGGTGTGAACGCAGGTTCACGCAGTCTGGAGACCTTTACAGACACATTCGGAAGTTTCACTGTGAGTTGGTGAACTCATTGTCTGTCAAAAGCGAAGCACTGAGCTTACCTACTGTCAGAGACTGGACCTTAGAAGATAGCTCACAAGAACTTTGGAAATAAAATTTTTATATATATAAATAATATATATATAAATCTATATAGTTGTGGTACAGTCTAAAAGCAATCTTGTTTCCTTGAACTGAAAGTTTGGCTATTAGCTTGTTTTTTGCACTTTAAGGCAGCATGAATATTTCACTAATTTAGCACTCCGAGAAAAAAGGACTGTAGAGGTAATCCGACAAAGTAACAAATTACGGAGCATATTTTTCCCCCTTTTCGGAATAGAAGCCAGCGGATACTTTACTTCTAAGGAATCTCCAATTCAAAAAATTTGGACGTGGCTTTATTCTCCCCAAAACACTGCGTTCTTTTAAGCTCTCGATCTTTTTCCTCTTAAAATCTGAATGTAGAAATCCTCTCCCAATTTTGTCAGTTCCTTTACATTTCTATAATTGCATGAGTCCTTTTTAGCTGTTGGAAACCTGAATGCTTTTAGACCCAAATGGAAAATTTCTGAAATGCTGGATTATCTATTTTTAAACAAGCAGTTGACTTAAAACTTATTATGGCAACTTCTGGATTTCTGACAGTTCCCACTGGAAAAAAACAAAGCAAAACAACACAAAAAAAACATAAAACAAAAACCCTGAGAGTACACTGGGATCACTGGGACTCTGTCTTACGTGAAGGTTTGCTTGGGATGAAAAAGGATATTGCAGCTTCAGCAGTGATGAACTGTGTGTTTAAAAAATGTGAATTACTGTTATTGTATACTGTAATTGATTACATGGGCCGGGGGGAGGTATCAAAGAACTTGGCAGGTTGTGTTGATGCTCTTAGTTGAGTCTTGAAAAGTAAATATTAACGCTACAGAAATGCATGAGTTTCAGTATATTTTTGTCTTTGTTTGCATTGTATAACTTTAACGAGTGAGTTGAAAATTATTTAATTTCCTTAGGAAAAAAAACCCGACACCGTTGAAAATGCTGGTGTTAGGAAGAAGAGAAATGCACTGTTTTTATTTTATCTAATTTAAATTTACTTTCCCACTGTCTTTAAGTTGAGAAGAACTTAAGCTACGAGTCGCCGATCTAGCTACGTTAACAAGGAAAAAAAAAACAAAAAAAAATATGAATGTTTACAACCAGGCTTTGAGATTTGCATGTGCGGTGTGCATTTACTAACCCCAGACCCCTTCTAATTGCACAGGCCCCACGCCGGCTCCAACCGAGGTGCGTCCATTTCCCCAGATGAGCATTTGTAGGATTCCTTGAAGCTATTCTTATATGTCCAGAATTCAAGTTTAAATTAAAGTCATTCTATCAAGGGGTGAAACTTCCAGCTTCATCATAAAAAAAAAGAAAAAAAAAATTAAAAAAAAAGAAAAAGCCCCGGGCTGAAAGGCCTGGGCAGGGCTGAGTGACAGGGGGGCCGGGGGAGGGCAGGGGAAGGACTATGTGTATCCAAGCAGCAGAGACTGCAGCCTGACGTGTGGTTTTAATGACCAACACACAGGTCAAAAGCATTTTGCACAGTGTTTGTTTTCCTGTCTTGCACTTACAAATAAGGTCTATGGGAGTAGCATGGAAAACGTTTGCTGTTTTTTTCCTTTTTTTTTTTCCCCTTGGTTTTTTTTTTTTCCCTCTGCTTTTGTTTAAAATTTGATCGCCTTAACTACTGTAAACATAGCCTATTTTTGTGCTTAAGATACTGAATGGAAAACTCCATTGTGTATTGCTGGACTGTTTTGGAAATATTTGGTCAAATGTGTGTTAATTTGGCTGTAATGGCATTTAAAACAAAACAAAAAAAAGCTGTGAAAATGGCCTTGGAGCGTTATCTTTAGTTACTTGAATAGTTTCTAGGTTTTAAATCTACATTCTTTTCTTAAGTTAGAGAAGACAATCAGTGTCTGAGGAAAATGGACTTTCTCTTGGATTTTTTTGTGGTCCTCGTGAGTGATTGCTTTTTTCCTTTCCTTAGTTTCACATTCTTCTTTTGTTCTAAAACTTAGACTGACATCTAGCTTTGACAATCATAGTATGTTTTATTTTCCTGAGGGGGGAATAACTTATAATGCTGTTTAGTTTTGTACTATTGGTGTGTTGGTGAATTTTTAAACTGTGTGCTAACTGCAATAAATTATATGAACTGAGAAATCAATTCCCTTGTCTTTTTTCCCTCTTTTAAATTATAGTTACGGAGTATTTTTTATAATGTGTAACTTTATTACTTTTGTACAGACTTCTATTGCTAACTGTGTATGGAATATGTTTTCAGTATGCTTTTGAGCACTTTGTTGCTAACGTACATATTTACATCTCACTTAACATTTAAAAAAAATTAAATGCTTGTGTTTTGAAAGCATTTCTGTGTGTGTAGCTCTCGCTCATTCTATAGAGGGATTTTTTAATTATTATTTTTTCTTCCCCAAAGACTTTTGCCGAAACAATCTATTAAATTCCAGAAATTTTGCTACTGTGCAAATATCTATGCAGACACGCAGTTTCTTTTCTGGGCTTAATTTCACCCCAAGGAGCTCTCTCAAGCTTGCTCTTTTGTATTCAGTCTCTATCAGAACATTGGAGCAGAAGGCAACAACTTAATCTGAAGACTGGCAGTCAGTGTTACAGTAGGCATTCAAAATGTCCAGAATACCAGTAATACATCAAAACTGTCGGGATTACAGAGGGAAGTTAAAATAATCCTATGTCTGTTTGGGGATTTCTCTTATAGACTAGAGCTGCCTTTAAAAAAAAATATAGACTGAAGCTTAGCGAAACCTTTGAAAAAGACCTGGTTTAGATGCTTGTTGCAGGATATACCCAGAATTCTTGTTCGAGGCCGCTCCATCCTAGGAACAAGACCAGCGCTGCAGAGCCCAGTGGGAATACGAAAGTAGGGCTAAATTAGAAGTCTGGAACAGAGACAGCAGGACCAATTTGAAGGAAAAAAATAATTTAATTTAAACACTTCCGTACATTTGTCATCTGCCTAGGTGCAACTTCAGTTGTGCCTTGACCAAGTGAATCTCAGTGCCTAATGCTATTCTGCTTATCCTCCATATCTACAGTAATTTGTACATAGCCAGAATGATCTTTTTCACTGTTTTCAGTCATCATTTGCTGTGTTTGTTTTGGAGTTTGGGGGTTTTTTGAGTTATTACAGGTATTTTTGTCAACATTAGTGTCTTTGGCTGCATAGATTTATCTTTTTTTTAGCAGCAGACCTTTTCTGTAGGCTTTCATACGGTAGAATATTATGTGTAGTTAGGACAGTTTAAAGTATCGTCAGGACTGAAAAACGGTTAATACTGCAGTTTGAAATCCATGCAGCTGATGAACTTTGGATGTGGCTCTAGGCAGAGTCACTGTTTGTTCTCCAACATAAAGATTTTCAAGGGCTGTAGATTCCTAAATAAAACTAGACTTAGAAGGAGCCCTTCTTCAGAAGGCTAACAGAAAACATAACTTAGCCATTCATGACAAAATAATTCAAAATATCCTTTATACTTATGGGTTTTATCTTGATGAGATATACATGTGCAGCGCACACTTGCTTGTGGCTATCAAAATGTTTCTTCAATGAAAAGATGAAGCATACTTCTGTATGTTGTTTCTCTCCATAAGGTTTAATGTACTGACATACCTAAATAGCAGTAACTTTTTTTTTTTTTTTTTTTTAAATACAGTCCCTAGATAGTGAAGTATGAGAGAGACTTTTATTTGGCTTGAGGATTTGTGATAACAAAATTATCACTGTTCATGTTGCCATGATGGTCAAAGGCAAATTGCAAGGATGGAAACCGCATGCTCTAAACTTCATAGATTCAGAAGACTTTCTCTGACCAGTAATAGTCATCACTTTTTACCTGTGAGTGCTTCTAACCCAAGACTCACAGGGAACATACTGAATACACAATTCATCTTTTTTTTTTTTTTTTTTTTAACCACTGCCTGTGATAGCTTAATATTATCTAGTTATGAATGATACCTCTAAACTCAAGCTTAGGGGTTTGGTATAACAGAGACTTTTGAATCAGGTATAGTGTTCTACGGACCATCTACTCACTGAGACCTGTCCGTGCTTTAGGTGCAATTTGAAGAAGAACTTGATAGGAGTTTAATAAAACAAAACTTTTTGGCCAAGGAAGGGAAGGGACCCTCTTTGCTTCTGCTCTCTGGCGTTAGGGTTGAAAAGCGAATACCTAGCAATACCATCTACTTCTGCTGAGCCTAACTGAAACCGCAATACCCCTTCAAAACTTGCATTGCCTGTTGGAAGCCTAAATAAAATTTTAAAATTACTTTGGAAAGAGACAGATTCCCTTTTCTCCCTGTGCTGCCTCACCCCAGCAGCCAGTCTGGCTCACCCACTCGGGAAGGACACCACTGTTTCCTTTCCCTGCCGCAGCGTACCCTCTCCTTTCCTTCTGCACATCAATGGATCAAGTGATTTGTCGGTGGTGGACTGACTTCTCCCCCTCCCCTCAATTAATTCTGCAATAATCAAATGTTCAAACTTTTTAATGGACTCCTAATATATAACTTTTAAGATACATTTTTCCAGCCTACTTTCAAAAATGAAACCCTGAGCCTCCTTTTATATGATCAATGATGCTGCAGCAATTTGTAGCTGAGAAGAGCTTGGAAAGGGAGAAAATTTCTACCTGCTCCCTCCCCTCAACTGGAAGCAATGCAAATTCCTTCAGAATGAAGGTGAAATATGCTTCAAGTCTGAAAAAACACCCGAAAATGAGAAAACTGATTAAAAAATAGTCATGTAGTCCTCCGAAGCAGAGTTCTCAAACTTATACATTATTAACACTATTTGTCCATGTGATTTCCAAACTCAAATGTTTCCAGAGAGTGTGGTCTTTTATTAAAGGAATCTAACCAAAGCATTAAAGTTTTTTTACTGGGATAGCAAACATGAATTTTAGCAGAACTGTCTAGTATTTTTAAAGGGAGGAAAAAGTGATGCAGAAATCTTCTGGGCTTTCAAAATATTCTAGTTCAGGAGTCCTTCTTTAATTTTTGTTGCGCTTCACTCGGTATTTTAATCATGTTGTTAAATATAGTGAGTTTGGTAATAAAATTTCTTTTCTAGATGGTAAGGCAGGAGTTCTTTCTTTATTTGTGGGAATGCTATTGGGAAGAAGGTGGAAATGTTCCCTTTTGCCGGCAAAGTAAGATAGTCACAGGAAGAAGAGCCCTGCTTGTTAAAACCTAAAGCCAAAAGCTCTTGCTAGTGTGATAAAATTCAGCTAAACCTGTTAAAAGGTCTTACTGATGAGAGATTACATCCTTTTGGGAAAGATTATCCATTTTAGTCTTGTAGGCTAAAAAAGAAGCATTACTTTTTACCCGATTGTCAAATTGAAATGCTCGGTGCACATAACACACAGCTTACCCAGCTCTGCCAGAGCAGGAGAGGGGTGAGTGAGTCTTCTGCACAGCCGGGCAGCAGCAAAGCCAAAGGTTGAACAGGCTTAACTGTGACAGTGACGGCAAATGCTGCAGAGATTTCGAGGGATAGACATGTTTGCCAAAAAAAAAAAAAAAAAAAAAAAAGTTATTTTTCAAAAATACTCCATGTTTGACCTGGAGTATTTCTCTCACATTGGAAATTCCTGGGTCAGTTAATTTTCAGACTAACAGACCTTGCCTAGGATGTATGTTTATCATCTTTAGGTTCATTTAGCTTGAATTTAGTTTCTTGATTTCAGTTGCTTTTCCTTAGAAGACAGTCACTCCGCTAATAGATCGTGCAGAACATAGAACATTTTAATTCTTGATAATGCCTTAGCATTAACCCTTTGTAGCAGGGGGCCACAAGTGCTCCCTGCTCTGTGAAAACACACCCTCGCAGGGAGAGACTCTGTGCCTCTCCTGTCCCACGGCTGTTACTGCGGGGCCAAATTTGCTTTTCTTTTTTGAGATTTTACAGCCTGGCTCTAACAAGCTTTTGCTTGGGGCTAAGAGGGAGAGCATACGCAGTCTAGCCTTGGAGCTGAAATTTCCATTTGATTGGGGATTTTTGGGATTGCAGGAAATAAATGAATGATTAATTGCAAAATACAGCTGGTGATTATTTTTTAGGATGTTTTAACATGCAGTGGTTTGGTATTTTTTAACCTCAGCATTGCATTTTTAAAATGTATATTGTGTATGAGCATATGTGTGTGTGTGTGAGGAAGACTTTAAAATAACTTGCTAATTTTTATTTAGGTGTGCATTGAAATCACAGCCTCAGTTATTCCTTAAAGATCTTTAGAAGACATGTTTAGTGCTCGTGCGTAGCAGCCAGCA